AATGAACTAGGTAGTTTTTCAGTTTCAGGCAGTCGAATGAGACTAGGCAATAACCAGCAAGAATGTGACTTCATGGGTGACCTTATTAGTTTTAGCTATAATGGTTTTGGCAACTGTATTTCTCATGAGTTTGCAGATGAGGCCCATCTGTTGCATTTGGAAAGTTTCAGGATTCTCAGTGACTAAAAATCAGAACAGTTGAGGATGGAGGAAGAGGAGAGAAAAAGCAAAGACTTTTTCTTAAATAATCTCTCTTGTCTGCTTTGTTGTAGCTGCAGTTTTACATGTGCGTTTAGTGTCAGTTCCTATCACTTTGGTTGTAAATGAAGTATTGAAACTTTTACAGGAAATTTATTTTAGTTTTTTTAAAAATTTCTTAAGTGTTATATAAAAATTATTAGAAGTCTATATGGCTATGTCAAATGACAACATGTGTCTATACAGAATGCCATTAAATATCAAATGGTATGTATTTACCAGGTTGCTTTTATGTTTCGTAAGCCTTCTCAGCTAGAGGCATTCTCCCTGTGAGAAACAGGTACAGTATGTGACTTCTGAAAATAACCTTTAGTTTGGGTGAACGCATGTAAATAACACTGAAGAAAAATAGTAGGAGTATTTCTACTCTAATGCATCACTGAGCCATCACCATAACAGTATGCATAGAGGAATATATGCAGATGGTCATGAAGAAATAAGTCAGTGTTCAGTTCTTGTTTCCATGTTTTGCAGCTGTACATCACAAAATAGTACAGACTAACTGCTCTTCGTGACACCAATTCTGCCGTCTTCATGAAAGTTGATGGCTTATTTTGTGACATAGTTGATCTCAGCTGTGCAACTTGGAGGATGAGTTTTTCAAGTGCGAAGAATGATGGCAAAGATCTTGCACATAATGACCGTCACAGCTGGTGCTGTTTTAATCCTGAGATAAAAAGTATTGTGTTAGGACAAAGCCAGCAAAATTACTATACTATATGTAAGTCTTTAAAACAAAGACTTTAGAGAAATTGTACAGCTAAAATTGACATTGCTGGTGTAGAAACTGAAACTGCAATGAAATGTTTTTGGTAGGTGTGAATACAGATGTTAATAACAGAAACTTTCATTAGAAAAGAGCCTTTACTTAATAATGCTTTGAATTTCTAGTGGCCTAAAGTCTCCAAAGATCTGACGGTTTGCTAATATCTGAGGGTTTGGAATGATTGTCAGTCAGAATGCTCTCAACATAGCACAGAATCAGGCCAGTAATGTCCCTTTGCGTTGTCATAAAAACAAACCCCAGCCTCTATGGGGAGGGTAAATTAGTCTTAGTAACTATTACTGCATTTAGCATTTACTTGTATAATAATAAAAAAAAGTAAAAGGCTTTCAGGAAGACTTGAATAGATTACCCAGTTATTTTGCATAACCTTTATTAGGAAATAAAAGCCTCGAAGCTCAGTAATAGCTTAAATAAAAGCATTCAGAAGATGAAACAAGTTTGCCTTCTAAACACTGCACAGGCTTCCCTCACTTTCATACGCTTACAGCAATTACTTTTTTTGTATTTTAACCTGTCCAGCCAGTAGTTGTGCAAGTAAAATTGCTCATTAATTTAATTATCTAAAGGATTGGACATACTGTACTTCAGTGTGACTCAGTGGATTTAAAAATCTTTATTTTTTCAGATAACTAGTAGGAGCTTAACAAAACATGGAAATAAATATTTTTACTGTGCTCTAAAGCATTAATATAGCGGCAGCAGCTATCTTCAGGTGTCAATTGTCATGCAGTACCAAGCTATTAATTATACTTGTTTCACACCTGAGTGGTGTAGGTTTGCCTACTGTGATAATCCTACACTTTGATCTGTGCCTTCAAAAAGTGACCGTGTTTGTGACACAAGGTGTTATTACTCTAGCCTTACTTTAATGAGCTCCATGTGTGAAGTCTGATATTAATCCAAAGTGCCACACGTGAAAGCTGAGAACTCTGAGAAACATCGTTCACGAAGGTGCTCGAGTTCATGTGAACAAAATGGTTTGAAACCATCCTGTGTGCTATTGACAGCAAGACCCCTTTTGGCCCTCACAGGCTGATAAATGAATGTGCTTGTTGAACCCTGTAGTTCTCTCCGAGTCACCTGCTAAGCCCAGATAAGATTAGGAAGAAGAGTGTCTGCGAGGGGGATACGGGGCTTTGTCTCACCCGTTTCTGCCTAGCAGAAGTCTGATACCAGGTTTGCTGTTGCCGTCGTGCAGCAGGACAGCTGACTGCACCTGGGTGGAGATGTTCTCCCCGTGTCTAAAGTGGTGTCCAGTTCAAAGTGCAACGTTCACTTCGTTTTGCTCTGCTGTCACTTTGAAGGATATAGTAAGTAGTTTGAAGATCTGATGAACCAAAAAGCCAGTTTCACTGTTGAACAAGCTGTAGAACTATAGTAATAGTCCTTGTTAATTCTGTGTATCATACGTGCTTCATCTCACTCATAAGATGTAAAGTAAACTAATGGTAAATTAGAGTGCTAGGTTGTACTAGTTCTGCTTGGAAAGCAGGGAAGTACATATCAAATCCCACTAAATTTTTTTTTTTTTTCCCCAATACCTAAGCATCCAAAAAATGTCGCAGGTTAAGTACTCTGAAGCTTGGTAGCAAAGCAGGAGTAGTGTTGTCTGTTTCGAGGAAGCCCTGTCGCTTCTTAACATTGAACAATTCAAACCCATCAGTTTCCCGTGAAGTTTCATCCTTACGACCAAGTTTCTGTTTTTTAAAAGAAAGTTTTAAGGGAAAAGCTATTTTTAAGTGAGTGTTGAGGGGATACATCTCTCTGAGCAGACAAAAGTGAACTGGGGTTTCATAACCAGCACTGAGATGGTTTATGTTCTCTTGGTTAAGAACGAACTCATCAAAAACTGAGATATTTTGCTAGTCTTGTATAACTGAATCGTATTCAAAGGGGACAATCTTTTGAGATACCTTAAGAAAGTTTTCCTTTAAGCACTTCTTGCTAAATGTAAATGAAAAATATTAAAGACAAGCGGGGGAAAATGCTTACAGAAGCTGTTAGAATCACGTTACGTGTGGACGTAGCAACATTCGTGGTTTAAACAACTTGTACAATACATATTTACGAATTTGCTTAGATTATCATGCTTGGTTTTTCATGTATAATATTCAGCATTCATTTTGCATTCTTATGATTTGAGACAGAACTTTCAGTTACTGTTTTGACCGATTATATATTGCTAGGTTATGTCACGCAGCAATGCTTTACAAAAACTAAATGGTCTTTTTCCGGGAAATTTTGCGTAGACTTATTTTACTTTCAACAGGCATAATATTTTCCTGAATCAGTGAAAGAAAATATAGGTTGTTTTCTGGAAAATACCTTCTATAAATTTTTCAACACTTCACCTTTTTGATTTTTAAGGATTCTTACCAAAATGGAAGAAATAACCACATCTGATTGTGGCACTAATCATTTTCAAGGATAATTTTTCCTAATAAGCAATGATGACCTATACTTCATAATGCGTTCTGCATTGTGTAAGAAAACAAATATAAGCCTCAGTTTGTTAAAAATGGGGTAAATATTTTCTCATAACTGGCATTGAACTAGTTGTTTACTGTTATTTGTAAAAATGGACAATTGGCCGTTGTAGCGCAGTAGTGCACGCAGCCGTAACGCGGTGCCCACTGACTGCATCGAGGCATTTTTATGAGCGATTTCAGTAGTGTGAAAGTGTCTGTTAGTCTTTTATTGTCGTGGAACGATGTGGCAGTATCATGCAGAACATCAGGTTACAGATATTTTTCAACCAAAGTAGATTAACTGTGGGCGTTGTAGTGGTTTAAGTGGGTCACTTTTAAAATTGTCTAAGTTTATTGCACTGACAGGGGAGGGTCTGAAGTACATTGATTGTTCAGAAGAGGTTAAATTCAATAATGCACATTTAAATTGAAAAGTAAGTTTAGAAGGGGCAGTCGAGTAGAAGTCCTTGGTTGTTGAAATGGAACTTGCTGGGTAGAGTACTTAGAGTAAATTTCTAACTTGAGAGTACTAAGGAAAAATGAGGTAGTCAGCAGTTTAGCAGCTGTGGGGTTTTGGGGAGTTTGGTTTTTTTGGGAGGGTTTTGCTTGTATGAGTAGTTTCTGGGTAGTCCGCTGGTCACTGGGATTGTTACAAGCACCTACCTGTGCCTTGATGGATAGCATAGGTCAGTCAAAATGGAGAACAGCACCTTTAGGGGAATAGCTTTGTTGGTTATTCATCTCTAAATGATGAATACTTATTTTAAATGTAGACCTTGAACTGTGTTGGGGTAGTCTGTACTTTCACTGAAAGTACCTCTGAGGAAACAGGAAACTTTTGGTAACATTTTTCTAAAATCTTGAAACAAAGTTTTTATTTAAAATCACAGTGTAGTCACATTGCATTTTATTGTGCTTTATGTAAAAACTGTACTATTTCATAATTAAAGTGTTTCTTTTGTGGGCAACTGAGATTTTAGCAATATTTTACTTAAATGCAAATTTGTTAATGTGAGAGGAGAAGTAATATTCCCATCAATAGATGATAATGTAGTAAGTAGTGAATAGTTTCGATGTATTGTAACAAAAGTTAAGACAAATTTAGACTTAAAATCATAAACCACAATTAGTTCATTTAATATAATGAGTTATGTAGATAGGGCAGGGCAATGTAGCTGTAAAAGGCAGCTTGGAGAAGAGAGAGGAGGAAAACTTGGAGCTCATACCTGTTAAGTGACAGTTTTTTGAAAATGAATGACAATATTTATTGTCCTTTACTTCTCTGGATAATTATTCTCACTTATTACAAAATACCCACGATGTGTTCTCTCTAGTGTGAAATAATCTCTTTCCCAAAGTTTATTTTAAAATTTTTGTTCATTTTCTTAACTTTTTGTTAAATATTTACCACTCTTATTTCCTGGGAAGATAATCGGTAATCTCCATCACATACTGTAAGATTAAATGTATTTTGGTATTTTCTGCAGGAGCACCTGTCATTAAAAAAGTACATTGTGGATATTGTGATTGAGAGTTCTGTTCCTGTGGAGCCATTAAAAGATGGAGAGGAGAAACAAAAAACCAAGAAAAAAGCCAAAAAGCTAAAGGCACGGATGAACTCCAGGTAGTACAATTTTCTTGTTATTTTTTTTTGTTTAAGTTTTGTTCTAAACTTTACCTTTTGTCCTTTACTGTGAGTGCAGTGGAAGGCTGAAAAAAAAATGAAAATTATTTGCTTTGGGAGTGTCTTGAAAATAATACTGATGAGCCTAATTTATGGCCACTTTCTCTGATTGAGAAAGAAAACTGAATATCGATCTGGAGCCCTTGGTTTCACCTGTTAAGAGCTTTTCTCATAATTGGATGCCAGTGCCCTGCCAAAACTGTAGCCCCTTCTAGCATACAATAGCATGTTTAAATTTGTGTAAACCATGCCTATTTTTCTTTCTAGCTATTGATTTTTAAATGAAGTATCAAAGAAAATCAATAGTAATCAACAAATAGAAGTCAGCCTGCTGTAGTGTCAAATCCCATGACTAAATTTAATCATTTTTTGTTGCCTGTCACAACAAAAAGAAAGTTAAAAATATCTTAAAATGGAAAGTGAGTTGTCAGACCTGCAATTTGTTATTAGTCTAAAAAGTGACATCTGCAAATCAGTATGATACGCAGAACATCATTATAGCATGAACTGGCAGAATCAGTCTTTATAGCTGAATAGTTCCCTGCTGAGGTTAATACTTAACTGAATATTGTAATATATTTTTGCATTTATCTCTAAAGATACTTATCAGAAGGTGAGAATCATTGTCACATATTATTCTCTGCCTTGTTTTTAAGCAAGAAGAGTTAGAAATAAGAGAAAAACACCTGAATGGATTTTTAGAACTACAGTAGAAATGTGATGTTTTCTTAACTCATAATAGTGCTAATAATGGCACACTAGACTTCAAAACCACAATACTTTAACAATGTGCTACTGTTTCTGATTGTTTTCCTCTCTGAATGAGCAAACCCACTATCTGACTACTACCTTTAGAACAGACTGTTGAAGCTGGATAACATATTCTTCCAGGTTACTGATTGCTTAGGATGCAGAGTTGTTCATATTACCTGTTGATTTAATGCAGTCATTGGGTTCAATTTTAAATCTTTCTCAAGAGCTGCTTCTGTTGAATTTAGTCAGAAATTTGTCAGACCAGTGAATATAAGCTCAAATAATAATTTGTTATTGGCACCAATAGTTGAAAAACTTTTTCAGAACATTTTGAATTCTTACGTGTCAGACTGGTGAGTGAGTCAGCATATTCGTCATCAAAAATTATAATTAAAACAGTCATAAAGGGGCATCATTTTACAAAGATGATATACTGTTGAGAAATACAGTGAAAGTTTCAAAACTAAGAGGAGTTACATTGGTGAGACATGAAATTCATGTTCATTAAGCTTATTTTTAGTTTTGAAGGGTGACTAAACTTTTCAATGAGATTACTGTCCTTGAGGATAACGGAGAGTTAAATTGAATATTTCACCATGAGTTTCTAAAAAAACTTAATAATAAAAATGTCCAGTAGCAATATGAAGCAAAGCTTGTTCCATAGAATTTCAAACAAAAAATTGATTAGGAAAAAAAAAGAATCCATTTAGGAAATTAATTTTAGTCATGCAAGTCTTGCCAGTCTTCTACAGTTACTATAATTGACACTTGAGTAATAGTACTAGGCATAGTAATGACAATACTGCCTGGTTGCTCCTGCATGTAAGCTTATTACTGGTGAGGTGGGGAGGTTTTCCATTTTCAGAAAATGAAAGAGGACTATCTTAAGTGATGTGGCTAAAGCAATTAAAGCAATAACCTCATAATTACAATATGAAATACTAAATTAAATAATTTAGGGAGTCTATTGCTTTTCTGCCCAACAACCTGGACAGTACTACCACCAGATGATTGGGGATTTACTGCTCAAAATCAGCTCAAAACTTCGGTGGAATATATAGTTTAAGTATTTAATAATTAATTTATTGAGGATGGTTTGAAGGTGAAGAACTTTTGATGTCAATAATTCACACAGTTTCACAGGTGTTAGCATGTTATCTACAAACTGTGTTTCAGTATGTTCTTGCAAGTATTCCTCTTCTCTAGAAAAAGAAATAACAAACCTCCTTATACCTCAAGACTTGGAATTATACATTCATTTCGATTTCTAGGAAGCTGTGATGTTTTAAACTCAAAAAAAAAAAAAGGAACTGCATCCAAATAAGTTCCCATTGCTCTCCTGAGTTTCTTGATCTTAAATCACTATTGCAATATCAAAGCAATGAAGGGCAAAGGTGAATGAGGGGACAAATTGTGGTCAATGGGTTATTAGATATGTTGAGAAATTTTGTTAGTCTTATTAATAATATTTATAACCCTAAGCCATTAAACTGGTGCCATGGTAACAACTGATATATAGCTAAATAAATTATCTCGGGTTAACATGTATATGCTGCTATCAGAAGAGTATTTTGGTACCTGCATGGCAAAAGGAGGCTTGACAATAGCTAAGCTCAAAGCAGTAGAGGTGTAGTTACCAGCTAGGAAGTCCACACAGTGGAGAGATGCTTTGCAGTGGATTTAAAGCACTCCAGACCTGCTCATTTAGTATCAGATCTTTTCGGTGATTATTCATGTTTGACTGACTTGTCTGTACAAAACTCAAAGCTGAAATGTGTTGTTTCTGGCTAAGAGGCAGGAAAGAAGGCAAAAGGTTAATAAAGGAATCTCACCTTCATGTTTAATACTAAATTCAGTTGTGATTAATAGCTTTATTAATGATCCACAAATCAGAGCTACTGGTAATGTCACAATATTTGCATGTAACATAGGTTGTACAGGTTAAGCAAGCCTAGGGAAAATTTGAGTAGCTTTGGAAAACTTGATCCACTTGTGTGAACAGAGAACACAAAGAAACGTTTAGTATATGTATCTGAGAGAAATAATAGGAATTAGATCTTTACTAAAAATGTTTTTTTTGCAGTGCAGCAGTGAAACACATTTCCCATTGGAAGCCATTGTCAAAATCTTAGATTTAAAAAAAAACAATTGGACATTTGTAAAGTTGACAAGAATGTCAGGTGACAGCAGTTAATGTTCAGAGTACCTTGGGAATTCATAGGAAACACTGGTTTTATGGGTGCAAGTTGCCCTGAGGCAGACTTTTTTTTTGACTTCTGTGCATAGGGGCTTTTGGCATTTTCTGCTGGGCCTGATTATGGGTGCGTTTGGTTCGAGACAGATCACATACCTCCTCGCAGACTGAGTCCAGCATGCCACTTAAGTTTCCTTAAGTGTGTGTACAGGTTTTTCTGAAGAATTTTCCAGGCCATGAATGATGTTGTCCCTTGTTCGTCTGAGAACACAACCTCAAGAGGCTTGAACAGCAGATCTCCCTGAAGTCCCTAGAGATCCGTGTTGCATCCATGAAGTCTTCATTTCAGAATTAAAATCGAAAGAGCAGTTTTAAAGGATCAAATGTTTTCAACAGCTAAATGCTTTTAGTGCCTGCTGGATGTTTCTTCATCACAGGACTCTGTCTCAGAATTGAATTTTTCTGCATCACTGTAGTATCTGAATTAGTTTTATTTGTGTGTGTATATTGTTAAAAAATGTTACAGGATTACCACTGTGAATCCTGTTTTGGTTGCTGAGCTGGTGATGATTTTCACCTGTTGGCTGAAGCCAACAAGCAGTGGAAAAAAGTCTTGTCTTCCTTTTCCTACTTTTTGGCATATGGCCCACATAAATAATTCTTTTAAGGAACTGAAGAGGTTTGTGTTTCTCTTTCCAGCAGTAAAACAGTCATTCCAGGAGGTATTTACTTCTGTGCTGTGTGCCTAACAAGGCTCGTCATGTTACAATACAGTGATTTGTAACTAATCACTGTATTGTAACATCATGAACCTTGTTAAAATAATTAATAAAAAATACTTCTGTACCTGTAAATACAACAAATTATTTATATGTTAATTATAAGCTCTGTGATGTAGTGATCTTCTGATCCGCACTGCATGTCTAAATTGCTAATATTTTCATCAGATGAATATGATAATTTTGTAATAAACGATAGGTTACTGCAGTTGTATATATCACTTGTACCATTTTCTGCCATTTGGAAAGTCAACTTAAATACACTATTTGTGTGCTGATGTTATTCTAAAGTAGTAATATGAATCATAAATTGTTAATGGACAATAGTTAAGCATCAGTGTGGATTATGACAGGACAGAATTGACAAATGCTGTGCATTATTATGAAATAGAAAAAAAACCAAAGGTTAGCATTATCTTGCTGTTATTACATACTGTACACTTTAGACAGTAGTCAAAAATAATGAATATTTTCTCCTCCAGGGCAAAGGAATACGAGAGCTTGATGGAAGCAAAAAATACTGTCTCTGATTCCCCATTTAAAGCCAAGTAAGCATTGAACTTTATATTAGACATACACTTTTTTTTTCCGTATCTATAGCAGAAATGCCTCTGAAATTTCCAGTGGAGCAGGTGTGGTAAGGTTCCTACTCAATATGGGGTGTACTGCCCTCTTGAATTAAAGAACTGTTTCTAATACAAAAGGTCAGACCTTATAAATGCTTTTTTTTTTTTCTGAAGGCACTGTATGTCTTAAACCATCTAAGATACAGTAGTAAAGAGAACATATGCTCATCCTTTTCTTACCTGGAAGCAAGAAGGTTCCAGCTTTGTACTTCAAGACTGATGGTGAAAATTCAGCACTGGAATTCTGGGGCCGAAAATCTTAACATTTCGCCTCCATTTGGTCAGAAACAAAGGTTCATATGGTGAAGGCACGATACTTTAATGCACAGGTGTCTTAATCTGGCATTGAGCTTTTTAAAGGATAGACTGTTTTATTGTCTAAGATAAGGCACAGATGAAAACAATTGGATGGAAAGATTAAAACAAGGCCTATTATTGTGGACAAATTTCTCCTTTTAGATTGAAATTGAAAATTGCTCAGCTTTTGCTTTCTGATTCCATTGAAACTAGTTCACAAGAGACGCAGTATATTTGGATTTCCAAAAAGCTTTTGATAAGGTCCAACACCAAAGATTGTTAAAACAAACAATATAGCTGTGGCATAAGTGGAAATCAGTTAAAAAACTGAAAAGAGTAAAGTATATGGTCAGTCCTGGCAGAGCAGGGAGGTTACCAGTACAGTTCTGCACCATATGATGTTCAACATATTCACAAGTGACGTGGAAAAAGGGGGCAAGCAGTGAGGTGACACAGTTTGCTGCTGATGATGCAAAGATATTCAGGATGGTAGAGACAAGAGCTGATACCGAATGATAATTTTGAAGAGAGTGAATGACTCGGCAGTAAAACGGCAGGCAGGTGAAATCCAGTGTACGTTAAGTGCTACACAATGGAGGGGAAAGGCAGAACTCAAGTTACATCTTCATGTGCAAAATGTGGGCTTTCAATTTACAGAAGTGATAGGTAGTTCCAAGAAAACATCACCTCAGTACTCTTAGCAGTTAAAGAAAGTCCTTTGTTAAAATTATTTAGAAAGGAGCAAAAACAGAACAAAGAATGTCATTATGTACAAATGCCTGGGCTCATCTACAGCTTTTGAATACTATGTGCAATTTGGTTCTTCATCTCAGAAACAACATGCTAGAATTGTGGAAGGTTCAGAGAGGACAGGAAAGGAAATCAGTAATGATTTCCGGTATAACTTCTGTATTAGGGACCTAGTAAACTAGTACTTCCCATTCTAGAGAAAATTGCGATAATAGGAGGAAGTTTTAATGGGAATTATGTTACAGAGATCTACGAGGTCGTAAATAGCATGGAAAAGATGGGTGTTGATTGTTTGCTGTCCTTCCTGGTACCAGAACGAGGGAGCAGAGAATGAAGCTGGAGCCAGGTTCAAAAAAAACCAAAGACAGCAGTTCTTCATGCAGTCTGAAGTCAGATGTATGGAACTCATTGACAAAAATCACGCAGATGTTAAAAGTTTACCTGCAGTACTGCAGTTCTAGGAAACTACATCCAGCCCAAGGGATTCCTAAGCTGAAAATGGCGACACGAAACAGATGAGTAAAGAGGATTATGTATGCTTGTCCTGTCCTTAATGTGCTGAGACATCCATTTGCAGTTCGTTGTTAAACAGGGTAGCGGGCAGATGGTGTGCCTGCCTGAGAGTTGCACTCATGAAGTCTGTGGCAGGTCAGTCAAGAGGCTGTTGTGTCTCAGCAGTTGGATTCAAATACCTTCATCCTAAAATTACAGCTGCTTTCCAGGTTGGGCATGTTTGTCATATTTGTCTTCAGACTGAGGTAACAACCTGTACCAGATCCTGTATGTTTTGTGGTTGTTTCTGTCACTCATTAATTGTTGATATACTTGAAGGTAGCGGGTTTTTTTCGGTTACTGTTGGTTAAGATGTTCAGATCCTTGCTGGTAGGCTTCCTTGGCTGGATATACAACTAGCCTGTATGCCTTCTCTTTCACATAGTCTCTTCAATAGTCGGAAAACCTGCTGCTGAATCTCAGTATGTATTTTGAAATAATAAAAATCCATCACTGAGGTTTGACATAAGAAAATGAAACCTCTCCACCAGATGGCACACCTGCATAAACACATTGGGGAAGAAGGTTCTGTTGTTGGCTTCGTTTCGTAGTAATCAGCACTTCAATTTTCAAGATTAGTTTCATGGCAGATTAAGACTTTTAGATTTGTAGTTTCTGTCTTTTTCCTAATAAAAAAATTAGGATCTGTTTGTCAGAAAGTAGAAATGTGGGGTGTTTAAATGACTGAAAATACTGAAGCTGTAGCGCTTCCACTGTAGTTTCTTTCTGACTTCTGATTATCAGAGAGGTAATTTGGTCAGTTGTGTCTCTATTGCAGCACAACAGAAACTCACATTTTTTTATTATTTTTTTTTACTCTCCTGACTGATCCTGAATTGGCCATTTTAATTTCTCTTTACTTAATGAAATACTAGTGTGCTTCCAGGCAGAATCTTCTGTTCCATCTTTACCACCTCTGTTAGGGCTGTACGCTTTTAGATGTGAACTAGTGTGATGGCCACTGAGCAGCTGACTTTCATCACAGATCTTCTGGGAGATTTCTTTTGCAGGCTTCATGTAGAAATCTAGTGATCTAGCAGATGCTTACATCTAAATTTTTAGAACATGGTTTCAGATACCATAGATATCGTTATTTCAAAAATTACATGACTTTTTACCTACCACAAGGGCTCAAGTGCTTGCAAGCTGCTTTGAAATCAAGGGAGTAACAATGGCAATTCAAGTCTGAACTGACTTTTTTTAAAAAGAGAGAACTGTTTATGACTCAACCAGAAGCCCAGTTTATTTCTATTAGAATTTGTTTACTTTACACAATATGTGATGTAAAATGGAAGAAGGATAGGGAAGGGTAGTTTTAATCTTTTTCTGTGAGGGAAAGGGTAAGAAATTTAATGAGGCAAGAGTTTTAGCACAGACCTTATCTGTTTACATGGAGAAACATATTCTTAATTCAGGCAAAATTGATAGGAAAACACCTTTGGAACAAAGCAAGAACAATAGGAAGAAGAATTAACTGAAGGAAGCAAGCAGTAGTAGATCTCCCCTGAAACATTATTGGATTGAGAAACCATCAAAATAGTTAGCTGTTGCCTTTTTAGCCAGCACAGAGTGTGCTGTGCTATGAGCTGATATTAGCTGCTACTGTACCTGGCTGAGAGACAGCAGGCTCTTGCCAACACCAGGAGTCTTAACAGCTCCCCGACACACGCTCTGGGGAGATACGCGAAGCTACTGAGAAAAGTCATGTTACAGAACGAAGGGGATAAAAACCCAGAGTGCTAAATGTGTTCTTTGTGTCAAAACAAATGCCAATGCTTTTTGTTTATTCCAGAGGAAGGTTTGAGGTATTCACATTAGAGTGAAAGTATACTAATGAACAGAAAATACTTTTTAACATTGTGGGCTGTGGAATTTAAAAATGAAAGGAGTTTTTTAAAATTCAATTTAAAATTGGTAGATTTATTTATTTGCTTAACAGAAGCAAATGTGTTTTGGAATGCAGTCATTAAACAGAATTTTATCTTATGCTTCCTTGCTTATGCCCCATTTCTGTACTCCCTCCTCTCCTCCCAAATTGATTGTGTCTTTGCAAACAACTAAAACCATTTATGGAATGCAATTTCTTATCTGATTTTAGTTCTTAGTCATGTTGTCAGTTGTTGCAGAAGAAAGACAGAACCCAGAATTAGTCTTTGGCAGGTAAAAAGCCTTTGTAGATCACCTTTAAGATTAAGCCACTTTAATATTATGAGACCACTGATTTCCTGGTGGAGCTGATAGATTGTTTCAGTAGTTCTTCTTAGTTTACAGTTTGCAGATTTGTAAAACCTTTTGCACTAAGTAAGCACTGATCCAAGTGCTTTCTAAGCTTTACCTTGGTAATACACTAATATCAATAAGCAGTCAGGTTTAACCCCCTGGTCTCATACTTTAGCCATTCTCTCCTCATGCAAGGAGGAATTGCTGTGTTCATGGGGTTTTTTGGGCTTACCTTTTTTTTAAAAAAAAAAAAACCTATGTAAAGGGACATTCAGATAGCATGGAAATGGGAGCACATATTATCCCAAAAAAGTGACTACAGCACAAAGAGGAGAGTTAGGAAATGAAAAATTATTTCCTGTAAGAGTCTGCTGGAGAAAGGCGGGAATGCAGCGTGAAGTTTGTTCTTGCAGAGACCCAAAGCTAAATACCTTTAACAATACAGTTCTTTCTTATTTTCCTTATGGTATATCAATGCATTCACAAGATTAAGTTGATCTTGCAGGTTTTCTTGATGTAGTAGGCTCGAGTCCAGTTAGGCCAGTTACAAGATATACCAAAATACTGATTCCTGGAAAAAAAATGAGATACTCTTTGAAGCTGGAAGTATTTGTGCAAAATTTTGTTTCCAAACAGCTATGTGAGCTACAGAGGAGCCAAAGTGTAAATAAAATAAAATTCAATTCAACTTTTAGAAAAGATAAATACCTGCTTTATGATTGGATGGACGGTAGAATTCATCTTCAGAGAATTCCTAGAGCGTTCAAATAAATAGGAGTACAAATAAATACATTCAGAAAATAATCTTTTTAGGAATTTTTCATCCTGTAAAGAAGGTGTGTGAAGCTGCAGATTTAGATGTTTGGTGCCTAGCAGTGTTTGGGACTATGGCAAGATGTGGAACGGTGTTTTCAGTGGCACACCTAGATCGATCGGAGTATGCCGCGTGTGCCACCGCGTGTATTAATTGTACTGCAGGGGGCCAAGCTGCACAGAGTAGTGCAGGGGCTGTACGTTGCTTTACGAGGATACAGCATAGCTCCCTGTTTCAGGTCGGGCAGGAACTGCCACAGACTTTCTCAGTTCTCTCCAGGCACAGGCTGCATCGGGAAGAATTGGGGCTGTGTGTCCACCTGGCATCTGGCCGCCCTCGGCAGGGACCTACAGGAGGAGTAACCGCTCCTTCCGTACAGGAACTGCACAGAACCCAGTGCTCTGCCCAGTCCTACTAATCCTTCCTTGCATACATTCAGTGTACAGCCAAGAAATCATGGACTTAAAGGTGGAAGTGCTGAAATATACTGATGTTACTATTTCAGGGCTTTTTTTTTTTTTTGAGATGAATTATGGCCTATAATTATTAACAGAGATCTTTTTCCTTTAGGCTACAAAATATTTTAAACCTGCTAAAAATATTTAGCCCTTAATTCATACAATACTTTCATTTAATTTTGTTTATATATTTGCTGTATAAACCTTTAATATGAATATCCCTGATTTTCCAAATTGCATAATGTATTTATATTTGTTGAATGTACTATCTATTAACGTTTATGTTATGGTAATGTTCCAAGTGCCTTATGTCCTTTATGATGTATCTTCTGCATTCAGAATTATCTGTTTATAGGCAGTACTAAAATCTCAATTAGTGAGATGTAAATAACTTCAGATAAAAAGCTACCAACTTTTAACTTTTCATTTTATTTAGCCCAGTGAATTTTCAGTTCTTTATCATTCCCTGTATGGCATAGTAAGCATTGGAGGAATGCAATTTGGGGGACAGAAAGAAGATTAAATAATTTCATTGAAATGTTGAGATTTGAGCTCAACAGTATTTCCATGGGGTCACTGGACCAGGTGTTGGTGCCGTGCTCTATTAATCTGCGATGCACACTGAGAGTGTGCAAGGAGTACAATGCGTACAAAGAGTTTTCTGTCTTTCCAAATCCGTTCATAGCAATGATAAATTCTATATCCAAGCACAAGTCATCTTGTGTAGATTTCTAGTCCTTTGAAACAGTGCTAAAATTATTCTTGTTTCTCTGACACTGCCAAGAAGTCAGTATAAAGGATATTAAATTAAAATAATTTCTCCAAGGTTCACTCGTTGGGAGGAGGGAGTTTTTATTTCCCTTCTCTTTCCCATGTGATCACATAGCATGCAGTACCTTTTTTTTGGCAGAAGACCAACATACAGTAGGATATGAGGATGTGAAAGGTAATTCTTTAATGTGGCAGAACCGAAAATGTATTTTCAGTGTTTCTCACTGTATGATGCTGGAGACACACTTAGAAAGTTTGAATTTTGGTAAAAGTGTCCAGAAAGACTTTTAGAAGAAACAGAAAGCTGGAAGATTTTTCTTGAGAGTTGATGTGTTGTACAGCATTTATGGTTTTTTTTTTTTGACTGAGGACAGAAACTGCTTGTGACATTTAACTTACATAGCATCTTTATAGACTGAAGAGAAAGAATTTGTCAACAGAAGTCACAATGTGATATGATTATTTTCTATTTGAGTCCTTGTGAGTAGTGTTTTGAGAAACCTTGCACATTTTGTATGCTGATGCCTGATGCAGATTAGGAAAGTCCCTTTCTTTAGCCTCTGTGGTTAATCCTGGTTGAATTCCATTCCTGTGATGCTAAGTGAAGCAAATGAAAACACATCTTGCTGTCTTCTGTCAAATTAAGTTACAATATACTGTGGTGGTTTTTTCAGTGTTTTATATCTGCTTTATCATGGAATTTAGGTAGATGTTTCAAAGAGGGGAAGTCTTTATTTTTGCTTAACGCGCCGGGATATTGCCAAGGCAATAGCTGTTCTAAATCACATTCTATGAGAATACCTGAAGTACTCTGTTTCTAGATGATCTTTCAGGGCTGCAGCAATTCAACTTTTCACTGGTGCTGCGATCCACTCCTTATGCTCAGCAGACTTAGTAGTCATCTGATTTTCTGTCCAAATCCTGCAGTTATTTGTGTTTTGGCTTTTCTTTCCCATTTTAGCGCGTGGCTTACTGAGTTGGACAGAGGCTTCTTCCAACCTCATTTTCCACAGAGGAAATAGCAGCGCAGAAAATCTCATCAGGACGTAATCTCCGTTTATTTTTCTTGTCATAGAAAAAACCTGGCATAATATTAGTGGATTCAACTGACCAGATGATAAAAAGTCCAAGAGTCAAAATTCTGCAAATTGTTTTTATTTGTGCTTTAAAAATATATATGTATTTTCAGAGTCTCTTGAAAGCTTTTAACAAAGCTCTTAATTTTTTCAAAGAAGAGGTACAAAGTACCTGTTTCCTATTGATAAGTGGAAGCTCTCTATTCTTGCCCCAAATGAATATTTTTGTTATTTAATTTTTTAATACATGTGACTATTGTGGTGCATTCCTCGGCCGTTTCGTCTCCTTTCTCACCTCTCGGAGACTAGTCAATGTGATTTTCTACTTGCCTTTGCTCTGTGGTCACTTTGTGGATGCTTTCTGTCCCTTCTGTCCATGGATGATCTCCAATTTTATGATAAGCATTGATACCCTTCCCCTCTCTTTTCCTTTCTATAGAGCTATGTTTGCTTCTAGTCACAACAGTAGTTCTCCCACTCATCCTGCTCAATTACCAGCTTCGTCCCACTGTCAGTACAAATTGCTCCGTAGGTGAAACCAAAGGTCCACCAAACGCTGAGCGTGGCTTTAAGAGTAGCCAGTAGCAGATCTTAAGGCAATGGTTGTCAAATACATGGCACGTATGGAATGATACTTCCTACCTACTTCTCTCAGTCTCCAGGGACTGTTTAGCATTTGTATGATCTGCCTTAATGCATCTGCAGATGTAGAAGCCTACATCTGAGCTAGTTACTGACTTCACATTCAAGGCAAAGAAGGATAAACTGAGTCTGTTTTGACTGCTTTATTTTAGGATGAGATGAATAGTGCCTTGGAACTGCATGTATCTCCCTCACTGCCTAGCGGGAGAGCATAGATGAATAGCCCAGATGTAGATGTGTAAAACTGAAATGAATCCTAACCCACATGTGTCTACATTTCTCTCACCTCTGCATTTTGGCTTCATTACTGACCCTCATTAATAAAATGCCCTTTCTGAGGTAGTCTGCAAAGTCACTACTTTTCACTTATTCAAATAACCCTAAAAAGCCATTTCTTTTATGATGCCTATAAGAAATCAGCCAAGTAGTCTGCTGTTCTATTTGCCTTACTCATCTCAAGAGCGAACTACTCAGCGAAGTGGGCAGAAGGGGTTGAATGATGAAAGAAAAGTAGGATGAAACCATGTTGAAAATGAAGACCGCAAAACCTAGCAGGATAAACTGTGAAAGGAGATGAGGGAAATTAACTCTGTTGAGCAACAAATAAAACAAACATGTAGCTGATAAAGAAGCACCTTTATGATTGTACTGTTCCCATGTTTTCTATGCTATTTCCCTGGAAAAGTAGACAGTGAAGTTGTAGACACTCTAAGCTGACTGTATCTCCTTGCTGTGTTGCATATTTTACATGCTGTTTAGTATAGATGATAATAATACTTCTACACAGCTTCTCATGATTACTTTATTGAAATTCAGTTAGTAGAGTTGCATTGCGAAGAAGAAAGTTTACATCATCAAGAGAGTTTTTGCTTCAACTGCTCTTTGTTTTCTGTTTTACATTGAAGGTTACAGCGATTAGCAAAAGACCTTTTGAAGCACCTCCAAATGCAGGATAGCTGTTTGGGGAACAACAAGGTTTCTTCCCTGGACAGGACTTTAGGAGAGATCTCTCGTATTCTGGAAAAAGAGGTATTGTGACTATTACTGCAGTACTTACGATTAACCTATAAACTGTATTGCTCTCAAATGTCATCGTTTTGGATTTGGGAATGTTTTGAACATGCGTTGATGAATACATGACCTCTGTGTAACAAGCAGTGTCTGCTATTACACTTTTCTGTGGTGGTTGCACCAGTGTATCCTTTTATTTAGACATCAGTTTCTATATAGGCAGTTTTGCAGAAGTGCTGAAAGCACGCTTGACTGATGCTAGATCATCTGAATAGTGACAAGCACTACTTTGGCTGTATTTTCATTGGGATTGTTTGTAACCTGGGCCATTTCAGTCATCTACTTTATAGTGCATACCCACAAGCAGCTTTTATGATAAGAGACCAAAGCATTTAGCAGAGAAGAGAGGAAGGAACTGGAGCCAACTTTGCTGTCACAGCCGCCGTATTGTGGTGTTATGGCGGAATTTTGAAGCAGCACAAATCTGTTGAGTTTTCCCAGAGTACAGCAAAGCCTGTACTTTTCGGGTAGGTCTTTGATGGAGAATGAAGATATGGTATTTCTATGTTTGGAATTTTTTCAAAGTTCTGTGTCTGTAGAGCATGTTTTGTTTTATGGTAAATGTTGCATTTTTTTAATTGATAGCGTAGCATTTGCATCTTTCTTACTATTTCATCATGGTCAGGCTGCTGCCACAGTGCTTTGTGTCTTGTAATGCGTATTTTTTTCTCCATTAGGACCATGGTATTTGAGTTTTCAGCTGGAACATTCTGTTCTCTCTCTAACCATTAGAAAATACTTTTCTTTCCTATCTGCGATCAAGAAATCATGAAAATTATTTCTGAGAAACCAAATTAATGAAATCTCAGGAGAGGGTTGCATCATTGTGGTTCAGAGTTGGTGTCTGTGAAGATGAGAGCTCTGCTTGATGAGAGCTCTTTCATAGCTTTGTCAACGTGGAGCACAGTTGCTAATAGCATATGCTTTTAGATACTACACACTACCTGGATGCGTGGGGTTCTGCCATGTGTTCTGTTAGTTACTTTGAGCTGCTGATCAGGTTTAAGAGTGTTTTTGAAAGAGTTGTGACATTTTCAAATTTTGCAGTGTTAACTAATACATTTTTCAATAATTATTTCTTTCAAAATATAGAAACCATGTTGTTGCATGAAGACTACAAAGAGATGTATCTGTTTTGAAAGTTGTCTAAGTAATTATTGGAAACTGTTATTGGGAAGTGGTGTTGTATCTAGCCTCTCATCAGTAGATGCTTTCTGAGATTTTTTTTTTTAAATGAGATGTGAATTGCAGCTAAATGTTAATTATTAATTGTTCATAATGTTTTACTGCTTGTTGATTCTGCAGTGGGGAGCTAAAAGATAAATTTGATAGTATTAATAGGCATGCCTTATTTTGTTGTTGATTTGGGTTTTTACCCCCAAAACATTACTCTATGGCTAAAGAAACGTTGTTCTATCTGAGTGTCCTAATCAATAAGGTCAAGAAAGATTGATTTCAATAGCTGTCACTGTGTTTACGGCACAGATCCTACATAATCATTTATAGAAGTGGATAGTAATTCTCTTGTTAACTTGCAAGTCAAGAAATCAGCAGACACATCTTACATGTCAATGGGCGGTGAAAAGAATCTTGATGGTGTCAGTCATCAACCGAGAGGAGGAGACTGACGCTGTTAATTGAATTTCCCTGGAGAGCATAGAAATATACCATAATGTGGAGGGAGGAATGAGGGAGTGGGAACCACACAAGCTGTCAGTGTGTGTGAGCTGATAACATTGATTTACCCTTGCTAATGGCCTGGCTTGAATAAAGAATTGCCCTGAGGGAGGACAGAGTTCACTACAATAGATTCTTGCCACTTACTAGAAATTCTTCAGGCTCAGAAGTCATGCAAAAGTATTATAAAATAAAATTGATCCAAAAAACACTCTTTTCAGTCACAGTGTGAAAGATTGGATTTTTCTTTTGTTAATAGTTTACACTGACTGAAAAATGTGTTTATACAATCTCACCAGGGAAATAAAGATTTGTTTTACAAACGATGCAATAAAAAGCTGAGCTGCTGTTGGTAACAGTAAATAAGAAAAATAAATACCATTAAATTTCTCAACAGAGGAAGGGTTATTCAGCTGATAAGAAATTCCATGAGTGTACTAAAGCAGCATGGAAGGGTGGGAGTGTATTCTTTACGCAAACTTGAATCACAGAAAAGCCACATACGAAAGATTGGCAGCCCTGTCTTACTGCGTTTTGCCTTCAGGTGGAATCAAATCAGAGTAGCAATTCCTTTTTGGATTTAGTCTTCATCTGTTGTCTTTCATAGTGATAAATAAGACTTTTTCTCACTTCTGAACTTCTTTTATAACATGAGAACATTCTAAGATGAGGCATGCCTGTATGATTATTGTGGTAAACTTGGGGGTTTTTTTGCATGTTTCCTGGTCTGCTGGGCATAAGCAGATTCTGCACTTGGGGCCAAGTGATTTCACTGATATAGCAAGAAGAGTTTGTTTAGTGTAAACTAAAAAGTTTTTGTATCAGTGTATCATCTAGATAGTCAGATTTGAGAAGTCTGCTTTGCTTCAAGTGGTTGTTAGATCTCCAAAAGCTTTTTGATATCTCCATGTTGGCTTAATTGTATGAAGCTCTACAACCACTAGAAGCATCACACCCTGTGCTGGAAAAGTGTTTGTAAGTAAGCAATTTGGAGTGCAGGTTTTTGAGGATCTGACAAGGAGTATGGCCAGTAATTGCATACAGCCTGTGGTTCACATGTATTTTAATTAAATAAACATAAAAGGTGCTATAAAGTCATAAGCCACGGTGTTGTTCCAGTTTTAAATAGGTTTGGACCCCTCAAGTCGCGTGTCCTTGCTTCTGCTATTAACATCAACCAGGAGGCACAAATCGGGGTGGCGTTGTGTACGCCTGGTACGCCGTCCCCGAGATGTATGTACAACGTATACTGCTCGGGTGCTGGTTTGGGTGTGCTCTAGATTAATGGAAGGCAGTCCTTGGGTTTTGTGCATAGTCTCATCCTTTCTGGCAGAAATCCTGGAAGGAAGTTGTGTTCACTTTCACCTCTACTCTGTTTAAAAGCATACTAAAAAAACAAACACTCACACAGACACAACAGCAAAATGCATGCAGATGTGACTGAAAAGCCCTGGCCTGATGTTGGCAGATTGTCGTATGGGACTCTTCAAGCTCTTAATAAGATCTGATAACGCTCAGTTTAAGATCTCCTGCGAATGGGCCTTTGATGCTGAAAGAAGAACTCATGTACCCTCTTAAAGAAAGCAGAGCTGATGTTCGAAACTACAGGGCTAAAGCAGTTTTTCTGCCACAGGTCTTTTGATTTTTTACACGTTCATTCTTTGATGGGATTAATTTAGCACATCTATTACCAAGGGCAGCAGCGTGTTTCAGATCTGCAAGGAATCCTGGATTAACTGCTCAAGTTTGACTTGAGTGCTCATACAGAAAGGTCCTGTAATAAGGGACACTTTCAGAAACCAGTATATTTAAAGCTGTATCTGTTAGAGTGACTACAGGTCCAGTTTTAAGTTGCTTATGTTTGTATCCTGTATTTCCCTCGATGTCTAGAGGAGAGATTAACTGATCAAAAAACCAAAACCCCTTTCTACTGCGTAGACACTAGATGTTACACTGACTGAGGTACGTCTATTTCTAAGGTTATGAACCTGACCTGGGTCAGGGGTTACTGCCTCCCATATGGTCGTCCTTCGATTTGCTGACAGAACATCACTTCCCTGAAGTTTTTAAAATTTGGCTTTAGAGGGTTTTTTCGGGGGTCCAGGTTTTAAAAGTCCTACTTCTAAATGTTTAAAGTATTCTGGGTGATTTTGATAGGTCTGGGCAAGGCAGAGGTGACAGGCGCCGTTATTCTGAGGAACGTGGCAGGATGCTACCTTCAATAAGGAGGATGGTGGGAAGCAGCTGAGGGCGGTAGCCTTTTCACCTGGCTCAGCTGCAGCAGCTAAATGCTGCAGTTAAATCACTTTAGTTAAATTTGTACAATACTTACATGTGACATCTAGACAAGCCCTGTGTCTCCCGTCCTTCTGACGGGGAGTATGACACACACAGTTCCAATGTGGTCACGAGGGAACCTCATGATTTTTAGAATCCAAGTGCAGCAGTTGATCTGCTTAACTGGATTTATTTTTATATGATGTTTCTCGTCAGACTGTTAGTTTGAAAGAGATCTTCATCACAACACAGGTTATAAGATTCCTTTAACTAAGTGATTTGACAGAAGATCTTACAGATGTGCTCCCAAGGAGAGGGCTGCAGCTGCAGGGGAAGAACAGAGGTTTTATAAATGTCCCAGCCTAAGCAAACGTTACAACTGAAGCTCACGCATCCGTCACGTGGCACAAAGAAGATTTCACTGGTTTTGATGTTTATAAAACTTACTATGATTTTGTATGCTTTTGAGGGTAGCTGTGTCCCTAATCTCCTTCAGGCTCTCTGGGTGCTGTAAAAATCTCAGTAAATAATAGTGAGTGCAAATTAAGTTGTTAAAGTGTGGCAGTAAATGGAACCAGAATCACAGAAGAGGAGGCTCTTAATAAATTGGGCCGCGGCACTTATAGTTCCTTAGCAGCTCTCTTTGTGCAAATCTAAAAGTAGCTGCTTTTCAATAGGCTAAGTATCAAGATACTTATTTTTATTACTAATTCAGCATAGTATTCTTACTGGAGGCAGATTTCAGGGGAAAAAAATGTGCTTCCTTAGAAAAGGTGTAAGTTTGTAACTGAAAAATGTGTGAATCTGAGCTATTAGGCTGCAGTGTTTTAATACTTTTTTAAAAAAAGGATCTTAATGCTTAATAACCTCTTAAAACTGCTCTTTCAGTGACCATTAATGTTTTGTTTTGTGTCAGGCAGTGTTTTTGGGTTTGTGATTTTTAGATAGGTTTTTCAGCCTCCTGCTTCAGCAGTCATGATGTCAGTTATTTACATTTCAGTAAA